ACCAACTCCAGTAGCCCCAGCAGCACCCCTAGTCCCAGTAGCTCCAGTACCGCCAGTACGAGCACCTCCTGGACCAGGGTCTCAAGTACCTCTAGTGCCAACCCCACTGTCAGTAGCAACAGTAGCACCTCCAGCTCCAGCAGCACGGCTCCAGCGCCGGGCAAACCACTCGCGCAGCTCCTGTGGAGAGGGTAGCTACCGCCGAGACGAAGCATCGGAAGGACCCCCAGACCCAGCACCGCCAGAGGCCATACGAGCAGACCCAGTACCCCCAGGCTCCGCACCCCCAGGCTCAGCACCCCTCGGCTCCGCACCCCCAGGCTCAGCACCCCTAGGCCCAGCACCCCCAGGCTCCGCACCCCCAGGCTCCGCACCCCCAGGCTCAGCAACCCCAGGCTCAGCACCCCCAGGCTCCGCACCCACAGGCTCAGCACCCACAGGCTCAGCACCCCTAGCAGCACCAAAGTCAACAGCTACCTCGACAAGCTCCTCTTCGTCTACCTGGGACACACCTGACGGGGCAGGACCCTGAGGGGGGAGAGGGTCTAACGGGGGGGGACCTGGCGCAAGGAAGAGCGGCGGCGAGGGGAGGGGTGCAGTGCAGTAGGGGAAGAGACGGTAGTAAGGAACCGACTCGTCAAAGGTGATGTTCTGGGAGGACAGAACACAGCGCGAGGTAGGGTGGTAAAACTGCCAACCAGGCGCGTCAGGGGGGAAGTCAAGGATGACGCAGGGAACCGCACGGGGGGACAGCTTTTCCGCAGACAAGTCGCAGACAAACGCCCGAGATCCCCAGACATGAAACGCATACGCATCGCCAACCTTCCCCGTCCACCGCAAGGTGGGGGAGGTCTCCGGCAAGGAGACCCGGGGCTGAAGGTTGATCTGATGCGTTACGTACCGAAACGCAAACGGCCACAGAAAATGGGGAGTAGCCGCATGGATCATGGACGTACGAGCGACGTCCATGACCATGCCAATGCGGCGCTCAGCAATCCCATTTTGTTGTGGAGAGGCCGGAAGCATGAACGTCTGGCGGATGCCCTGTGCACGACAGAAGGCTCCCAGAAGGCCAGAGGAAAACTCCCCGCCTTTGTCAGAGTGCAGACGCAGAACAGGAAAGTCCGAGCCGAAACTCTCTCTGAGCTGGAGACGAGCTGCTCGGATCCAGTCGATCAACACCTCAGTGACGTCACCCTTGCTGCGCAAGGGGAACACCGTGGTGTAACGCGAGTAGTCGTCAACCACCAACAGGAAGTAACGCTCGTGACCCTGGCCACGGACGCGGGCAGGGCCCCACACGTCCATGTGAAGAGTCTTCAGCGGAGCCTCTGTCGGAGGAAACTCGGAGGAGTGAGGGGCGGCGCGCTGCCGCCCCTCAACACAGGGAACGCAGGTAGGGGTAGGCCCCGGAAGGAGGGGAGGGAGGGACCGGGGGAGACCAGACCCAAGGTAACGGGAGGCCATGCCTCGGAGACAAGGCAGCGAGGGGTGACCAAGGCAGTGGTGCCAAAGGAGAGTCTGGTGGGACAGGAGACGATACGAGCAGGGAGTAGACTAAGGACAAGACCTCGACGCCGCAGCAAACACCTGACATGACGCAGCTACCTGACCAGACTCAGCAACCGGAGGAGACTCAGTAGTCAGTGTGTACAGGCTCGACCCCGGCCGACGGGTAAACGTGGCCAAGTGTCGGCCCGTCCGAGCACACGTACAGTGGGTCACCCGCAGACTCGCAGGAGTGAACTGGTCAACCCCCCCATCCTGTAGATCAGCACCACTCACCAAGTTCGTAGAGAACGAGGGGAGGTAGAGACCAGACAGGGTGCCAGAGGGGGCCGCCGGACACGGTAAGACAGTCGAGAAGGGGGCAAGGACAGGACCCCCAGAGGGGTCCGCCAGGGAGACCGCAACTGGCCGACTAAATGGCGTAAGCGTGGTGCGGTCTTGAAAGAAGGAGCGGGAAGCACCCGAGTCAAGGGTGAAGGTGTGTAAGGCCTGAGCCGACGTGGTACCTGAGAGAGCAGAATCACCAGTACCTAGAGCACCAGCGTCAATGCCCGGGTCAGGCGGGACACACAGGTAACAGTCACCCTCATCACTAGTAGACACAACATACATGGCAGCAAGAATGGCATCATAATCCAGATCAAAGATAGCAACCCCCGACCTAAGCAGCTCACCCCAGCGGGGGATCTCAGAGGCGTCAGGGAACTGGAGACACCAAGCGTCCGTCAGGCGGCCGAAGCAGCGCTGGGTGGTGTGCTGGCCACCGCTCTGCTCACAAGTGCGGTCGCCGGTACGCAGGACGTAGGCACAAGGACCAGCACCCCCATCCCGCTGACGCGCAGCGTACCAGTGACGAAGCTGCTGGGGGGGCGGGGTGTCACGAGTGCGCTGCTGCTGCTGGCGCTGACCACCACCAAAGCCGCTCCGCTGCGCAGAGCCACCCCGACCAGCTCCACCTCCGCCACCGCCACCTACGCCACCGCCCCCACCGCCTCCTCCTCCGCTCCCACCGCCACCGCCGCCGCCGCCTCCGCCTCCACTGCTGCCACCGAAGCCCCCACCCCTACCACCATTCCCACCGGCACCCCCACTCCCGCCGCCGCCGCCTCCACCGCCACCTCCATCGCCCCCGCCAGCCCCTCCAGCGCCCTTGCCCCCTTGCCCCCTTTGCCCTTGCCGGTGCGGCATCTCCCGCTAGGGGGAGACGCACCGCCGACCGACTCGGTGCCAACGAAGTCGACGGCAACAGCAGAGGCAACAGAGGGCAAAAGGGGGGAGGGGGAGCACCCCTCAAAGAAGGGGGCACGAGGGTCACCACGAGAGGCTCCTACAGCGACTATACTCTTCTGAGCTGCCAAGAGGCGCTCCTCGAGGAGGTCAACGGTGAGTGTGGTGGGGCAAACAGAGAGGAAGTGGTCCCTGACCGAGCAAAGGGAGTCAGGGAGCCGGGTGACTATATAGTAGAGGGTGATGTACATGGGGGGGGGGGGGGGGGTTCTTGGCGTAGAACTCAGCAGGAAGCACAGCGCAGTAGCGGGTGTCACTAGTGCGAAGGTGCGTAATGAGGTCAGCGACAGTGGGAAAGGTGACGAGGTCAGGGAACAGGTACGGCAGCATGAGGCGGCTAAGGGCAGCAGTGGCAGGGGAAGAGTAGCGTGCAACTACAGCGTCATACAAGGTCTTAGCACTCTTGTACTGACTAAAGTGTGCGCGCTCAGTGGACGGCAGGTGACTACGCACAGCAAGACGGGCAGCAGCATCCCGTGTGGCCCAATGTGAGCGAATAGTGCTGTCAGCATCGGCAGCAGGGGCAGGAGAGGCGCGAGACGTGAGATCGAACAGTGAGAGACCGTCTTTCCTATTGCACTGTAGGAAAAGTTGTAGATCATCGACCCAGACCTCAAAGTCAACACCCCGACCCTCAGCATCAAAGGCGATAACACTAGGGGTAGCCATGACAGTAGTAGCAGCAACAGCAGTAGCAAAAGGAGGGGCGCGGCTCGGTGGTGCTCTTACCAGGGCAGGGGGGTAGAGTGCCGCAAGTGGTGGGGCAGGGCGTAGGCGCGTCGGCAGGGACGGGGCCGCTACAGTGCGGCAGAGGAGCGTTGCTCCGCTATGCAGGGCAGGTTCGGGACAGCGGCGGTGACCCCTGCTGTCGACGGTGACGGCAGCTGCAGGCGGCGGCTGCGGCCGCGGCTGTGGCGGCTGCGGCTGCTGCCGTCGGCGGCTGCTGGTGCTGCTGTAGGCTGCTACGGCGGATGCGGCCCCGGCTGTGGCGGCGGCGGCTGCCTGCTGTCGACGGCACCGGCGGTTGCGGCTCCCGCTGCTGGAGCGGCGTTGGCTGCTGCTGCAGGGGCGGCGACGGCGGGGCGGCAGGTCCGTGAGGGAGCCGAGAAGGGGCCGCGGAGGAGCCGAGAAGGGGCCGCCAAGGGCAGTGAAGGGGCCATGAAGGTCCGTGAAGGGGCCGCGAAGGACGGCGACGGGGCCGCGAAGGGGCCGTGAGGGGCCGCGAAGGGTGGCGACGGGGCCGAGAAGGGCCGCGAAGGGCGGCTACGGGGCCGAGAAGGGTGGCGACGGGGCCGAGAAGGGCCGCGAAGGGCGGCTACGGGGCCGAGAAGGGTGGCGACGGGGCCGCGAAGGGCGGCGACGGGGCCGAGATGGGCGGCGACGGGGTCGCGAAGGGCGGCGACGGGGCCGAGAAGGGGCCGCGAGGGGCCTCGAAGGGCGGCGACGGGGCCGCGAAGGGCGGCGACGGGGCCGCGAAGGGCGGCGACGGGGCCGCGAAGGGGCCGCGAGGGGCCACGAAGGGGCCGCGAGGGGCCTGAAGGGGCCGCGAAGGGCTGTGAAGGGGGCCGTGAGGGGCCGAGAGAGGGGCCGCTACGGGACCGTAAGGGAGCGCGACGGGCCGCTAAGGGCAGGGGACGCGACGGGAGGGCAGGCACACGGGGCGCGACTCGGGCAAGGGCAAAGCGCGCTCCGGGCAGAAAAAAAAAAGTCGATTTTTGGTGGGCCCTAGGAAACGTTCCCACTAGGGAACCTGCTCTATACCATGTGAAAGAATGAGGAATGAATGCACCGGCAAACAGGTGGGTACAAGTAGGAAAACCTAAAAGTGTTGTACCCCATATTGTCTACCCCACTACAACCTACACAAACTATAGCATATAAGTTTGACATTTCGTTCAATTGTTCTTGCATGCTATATCAACCTTGCTTGTATTCCCTCATATCAATCAATTCTCATTCAACTCTTCTTCAATTACTCAGTAACTTCTTCGCCTATTTCGCTAGTAGTTCTTTCGCCAAAGTCTTCCGCCGCGTTTCATCCTCGACTTAGTTGACCCCGCTAATTCTTTAGCGGACTTAAGCCGTCGGGCCTAACAATTACGTGCTATGGCGGCAAAAACAGCATGGAAAAAATGGAAGAAGGGGAAAAACAGAGAGTTTCAAGGTGACAAGAGAAGAAAGAGATAGGGCGACTGGAGGGCGTTTCAGAGATGGGTCATGGGGGGGAGAAACGAAAGGCGACGAGCGGGCAGTTCGCGGCGAGCATGAGGACCACGAGGTGGGTGATGCGAAGGGAGCGAAGAAGGGCGCGGGGAGGGCGTTTGAGAGCGAGCGCGAAGGCGACAAGGTGGGTGATGGGAGGAGAAATTGGGCGACGGGACGAGAGGGAGAGGGGACGATTTGGGGGGCGACAAGGCTATGACGTGGGTGATGTGAAGGGAGAGAGGAAGGGCGATTTGAGGCGAGGGCGACGGTGACAAGGAGGGTGATGTGAGGGGAGAAAAGGGTGACGCGATGGTGACGGACGATGTGAGGGAAGAGTGTGAGGGTGATAAGAGGGGTGATATGAACGGAGAGAAAAGGGTGATGGGGAGAGAGAGAGAGGGCAACGAGGTAGGTAATGGGAAGGCGCCGATGAGGGTGCCGCGAGGAGCGACGAAAAAAGCGAGGGCATATGTGACGGGGAGAGTAACGCTGCGAGGGAAAAGCGAGAGGGGCCGACGATCACGGAACGACGAGCAGGCATTTTGGGGCGAGCGCAAATGCGCCGAGGTGGGTGATGGGGCGGGAGAGATGAAGGGCAACGGAAGAGAGGAAGTCGGGAGGGAAGGGGCGACAGGATAGAAGACATGTGACGGGAGAGAGGATAGGAGACGGGAGAAAGAAAGTGTGACGGGAGAGAGGAAGGGCGACGGGAGGGAGGAAGGGCGGCGGGAGAGAGAATAGGCGACGGGAGAGAGGAAGGGCGACGGGAGACAGGAAGGGTGACGTGAGAGTAGGAAGGGCGACAGAAGAGTAGGAAGGGTGACAGGAGAGTAGGAAGGGCAACGGGAGAGAAAGCGACGGGAGAGAAGGGTGACGGGAGAGAAGGAAGGGCGGCGGGAGAGAAAGAAGGGCGGCGGGAGAGGAAAGCGACGGGAGAGGAAGGGCAACGGGAGAGAAGGAAGGGCGGCGGGAGAGAAGGAAGGGCGGTGGGAGAGGAAAGCGACGGGAGAGGAAGGGAAACGGGAGAGGAAAGGCGAAGGGAGAGGAAAGCGACGGAGGAAGGGCAACGGGAAAGGAAAGGCGACGGGAGAGGAAAGGCGATGGGAGGGGAGGGGAGAGATAGAGTGGCGACGCGAACTGAAGGGAGGGCCGCGACGGGAGATAGCGAGGGCGACATCGATGGAGGCGACAATTCGGGCGACTGGGCGGCGTCGGGACGAACGGCGCGAGGACGAGTGAGGCGGGAGGACGAGTGAGGCGGGATAGGAAGGCGGCGAAAGGGCAATCTAAACGGCACAATTATTGCGCAATCATGACATATAATCACTACGTGCCTAAGTTGCGGTAACAACAACCTAAGTTAAAGCTATATGGCTAAACAAGCAACTAAAAACTAAGAAGCACGAAAAACTGAACGGACGAAATAGTTTACCCATGCCCAACTTGAACCACAAGCCAGGCAAAAAATCGCAGGGACGTGACAAAACGATTGCAGTGCTTCTGCTCTGCGGCTCCCCAAACAGAGACGCGACGCCTGACGTGTTGTGTTCCTTTTTCCGGTTCTAGTGGGAACCAATCAGATTTGTTGGATCTGTCCAAACGCTCTCGATGAAACAGTGCAAACTTGTCGGTTTGGTTTCGAAAATTGTCTCGCTCGACAAGCTCTCTTTCAAGCTGGAAACAGGTTCACTATTTTGCATTTCGGTTTTAAGTATGGAGCGGATGCTTCAAGAGAAGTTAAACTGTATCAATGCAGCACAGAGATTGATGGGGCCGTTGAAACAGTGAATATACGCTGCCTCAACGACGATGACAACCTCTAGCTACATACACATTGCAATGTAACACCTTGCCTTGAAACACACACACCTCACAAACACGAAATGCACAACGTCACAAAAGTAGTGAAGACATCAAAATGGATGCTTAGTATGCACCAATGCTGCAGCTGAGGTTGATGGGGTCGTTGACACAGTGAAACACACTGCCCCAACGACGATGACAACCTCAACTGCTAACACGATGCATACCAGCACCACACCTTGAAATAATCACAACCAACTTGTCAAGATAGCAAGCAGGAATGATCGCATTGAATGAATTGTGGGTACATGTACTAACCCTAATATTGGGTTGTACCCCATATTGGCTACCCCACCATAGCCTACACACAACTAGTACAGATATGGTTTGACACACCCCCATACGCAAAGTGGCGAGAACAAGGGGTCACAAGACCAGTCAAGAAAAGCACTACAAGCTTAGGGTGAATCACAACGTCACCACACACTTCGGGCACAAGCAAGAGGATCACAAGACCAGTTCACAGGCAGAGGTACACATGCAACAACAACAGTGCAATGATCACAACCTAGCAAGAGGTATATATATATAACACAGTACAACCAAAGTCTACAGCAAATGAGGAAACGTAGGCACCAGGCCTAAAGCATTGCAGAAGCGCCGATGATCACCGGCCGGAAGCGCCTTGGTGAACACATCAACCGTGTTCGCCCGGGTGGGCACGTGAGCAACACGAAGATGACCACACTACTGCAACTCTCGAGCAAGAAAGTAATGCAAAGCAATGTGCTTCGTTCAGTTCTCCAGTCTGTGATCCTAATACAAGGCAATGGCAGCCTTGTTGTCGACATACAGAACTGGAGGAGAACGAGGCCTCTCTCCCAAGTCGGTTAGCAGGTAGGTGAGCCAGCGCAACTCCTGTGCAGCCATGGCTGCGGCGTAGATCTCAGCCTCACAACTGGAGCTGGGAACAGAAGACGAGCGGGTAGACCGCCAAGAAAGAGAGCCAGAGCCAAGGCTGAACGTGTAACCCTGTGACGACCGTTGCGTAGCCAAGTCGTCAACCCAAGAAGCGTCTGAGTGCCCAGTAAGGACAACTAAGCTCCGCCCTCCAAGTACGAGCCCCATGTCCGATGTACTGCACAAGTAGTGTAGTACCCTCTTCGCAGCATCCATGTGCACCTTTCGGTGCCTACCGGGAGCCACGTAGCGTGCTAGAAGGCCAAGAGGGTATGCAAGGTCAGGATGAGTGCAAGTCATCAGGTACATGAGGCAGCCCACTAGCTCTGGGTACGGGCCACTCGGCTCTACGGACTCGTCCGAAGGTGGAGCTGAGAGCGAGTGACCTGTAGCCAGGGGAGTGGACTATGGCGAGGACCAAGTGAAGTCGAAGCGCTGAAGGACCTGCTGCATAATGTGTGACTCAGTCTGTGTAATGGTGCGCCGTGCTCTGTCTAGGATGATATGCAGGCCAAGGTAGCTGCGCAGCTCACCCAGGTCTGTGCACGTGTGTCTCTTCTACAACTCCGAATTCACAAGGGCAAGAGCCTCAGTGTCAGCAGTGGCAAAGACCAAGTCGTCGACGTACACGAGGAAGTAGAACGGCGGCAGCGAAGTGTCGGTGCGCAGAAATAGTGACGGGTCAGCAGTGGAAGGTGCAAACCTAAGAGCCGCAAATATCATCCTCAGTGTGTCGTGCCACTCACGCGGCGCCTAACGGAGACCGTAGACCGGCCGGCGGAGGCTCTACTGGGTACCAGAAGGGAACAACCCAGTGAAGCCAGGTGGGCGGCGCTGCCAGATCTCCTCGTGCAGACTGCCCTGGAAGAACGCTGTGTTGAAGTCCAGAGAGTGAAGCTCGTAGTCACGCTGAGCGGCAACGTGCAGCAGCACCCGAAGAGTGGTCATCTTTGGGGTGGGGGAGAAGGTCTGGAAGAAGTCAACTCCCTGTCGGTGACTGAAGCCTCTAGCAACGTAACGAGCCTTGAAGACAGGCGGAGAACCGGCGGCCGTTTCACCCTGAAAATCTACATGCCATCGAATACGTTCGCCCCAGGAGGGGGAACTACGTCGACGTAAGTGCCAGTGGACTTCCAGGATGCCATCTCTGCATCCATGGCTGTGTGCCACTAAGAGGAGTACTCACCCGCGATCGCCTCAGCGTAAAAGCGTGGGGTAGGGATCTCTGGAGCATCCGGGTCTCCCTTAGGGGCAAGCAGCATGGCCACGAGATGAGACGCAGCGGCTGCAAGACACTCAAAGTCCTCCTGCCTGTCCTCATGGACGTCCGTGCCAAGAGCACACTCACCCCCGACGGATGGAGGACAGACAGACTCAAACTCAGCAATAAGACTAGCAGCGAAGTCTAGACGACAGGCAGCAGCAAAGTCAACATGCTCAGAGACTAAGGCAGACGCAGCAGCAGACTCAAACAACGAGTCAGTGACAACAGTGGCTAGCAGAGGCGTGAGAGTAGGGTGAGCAGCACGAACCAGACCAGACTCAGGGTCCTGAACGTCAGGCAGAGAAGACGCAGGAGGAGACGGTAGGGGAACATGCTGTGGAACAGAGGAAGGACGAAGTGCCATAGCGTGCGTGCCAGGGACAGAAAGTAGACGCTCATGAGGAACACGACAACCAGTGCGACGCGCGCGAACAGGCGAGGCAGGACGAGACGCAGGCTCACGATGCTCTGTAAGCGATTCTGCCTGCTCAGTGTAAGGAGAAGGAGCAGGCAGTGGTGCGCCGGGCTGTAACGGGAGGCCAGTAGAAGACGGGAGGCTAAGAACCTCGCGAAGCACGGAGTCAGGCGGTGGCAGAGACGACGGTGACGGCGGAGCCAAAAACAGTCGCGGCTGGGCAGTGCCACCAACACCAATAGCTCCAGCGTCTCTAGCAGCTCCAGAACCTCCAGCTCCAGCACCTCCAGCAGCTCCAGAACCCCTAGCTCCAGCGCCTCGAGCAGCTCCAGAACCTCCAGCTCCAGCGCCTCCAGCAGCTCCAGAATCCCCAACTCCAACGCCTCAAGTAGCAGCACCTCCAGCTCCAGCGCCACCAACAGCACCACCCCCAGAACCGGCACCTCCAGCCCCAGGGTCCCAAACTCTAGGGCCGACACTGCTAGCTCGAGGGCCTCCAGCTCCAGCTCCTCCAGCGGCAGCACCCCCAGAACCGGCACCTCCAGCTCTGGGGTCGACAGCACCAGCTCCAAGGCCTCCAACCCTAGTACCTCCAGCAACAGCACCCCCAAAACCAGCACCTCCAGCTCTAGGGTCGACGGCACCAGCTCCAGGGCCTCCGGCCCCAGTACCTCCTGCAGCACCACCCCCAGAACCGGCACCTCCAGCTCCAGGGTCGACAGCACCGGCTCCAGGGCCTCCAACCCCTGTACCTCTAGCAGCAGCACCCCCAGAACCGACACCTCCAGCTCCAGGAGCAGTACTAGGCTCGGCAGCTGCAGTGCCTCCAGTACGAGCACCTCCAGAACCAGAGACACTAGTATTCCCAGTGCCTCACTGCGCGGCATACCGGACCGCAAACGGCCACAAAAAATGGGGAGCCGCCGCATGGATCAAGGAGGTATGAGCGACCTCCATGACCAAGCCAATGCGGCGCTCAGCAACCCTATTGCGGTGAGCCCGGAAGCGTGAACGACTGCTCGATGCCCTCCCCCTGTCAGAAGGCCCGCAAGAGGTCGGAGGTGAACTCACCACCTCTGTCAAAGTGCACACGCAGGACACGAAGATCCTGGCGGAACTTGCGGCGGAGCTGGAGACGAACTGCTCGGATCCAAGGGATCAGGACAGCAGGGACCTCATCCTTGGTGCACAAGGGGAAGACCGTGGTGTAACGCGAGTAGTCGTCGACAACCAGCAGAAAGTACCGCTCACCGCCCTGTCCACGAACGCGGGCTGGGCCCCACACGTCCAGGTGGAGGGTCTGCAGAAGAGCCTCTGTCGGGGGAAACGAGGAGGAGTGAGAAGCGGCGCTCTGCCGCCCCTCGACGCAAGGAAGGCAAGGCGGCGCAGGCGAGGCAGGGAGGGGAGGGAGAGACCTGGGAAGACCAGACACAAGGAGACGACACTGCATGCCACGGAGACGTGGCAAGGAGGGGTGACCCAGGCGGTGGTGCCAGAAAAGAGTCTGGTGCGACAGGGAGCTACAGTCACAAGGGGAGGCTACCACACCTGACGTAGAAACCTGACCGACAGCAGCTACCTGAGGAGACACAGTCGTCAGTGTGTAAAGACTTGACCCTGGCCAACGGGTGAACGTGGACAAGTGACGGCCAGTCCTGGAGCACGTACAGATCGCCACACGCTGTCATCTAGGGGTAAAGGTATCAACCTTATGATCCTGGAGGACGGCGTTGCTCACCAAGTTCATCGAGAACGAGGGGAGGTGAAGACCTGACAGTGAGTCAGACGGAACCGCCGCGCACAGAAGCATAGTGGTGGACCGTGCAAGAACTGGGCCCCCTGAGGGGTCAGTCAAAGACATTGCAACAGGTGCAGGGAGTGGTGTGAGTGCGGTACTGTCGCGAAAGAAACAGCGGGAAGCATCTGAGTCAAGCGTGAAGGTATGCAAGGCCTTAGCCGGCGCTGTACCTGAGAGAGCAGACTCGCTTGCACCTAAGGCAGCAGCCTCACTAGCACCTAGAGCAGCAACCTCTATACCGGGGTCGTACTACACACACAGGTAACAGTCACCCTCAGCACCACCAGGCAAAGCATACATCGTAGTAAGGATGGCGTCATAGTCCAAAGCAAAGACATCAACGCCCGACCTAAGCAGCTCAAGCTAGTGGGGGATCTCAGCCTTGTCGCCAAACTCTGCATGCCAGGCGTCACTCAAATAGGCGAAGTAGCGAGATTGTGCGTGACCAGGTGTCCCACAAGTCTGACCAGCTCGACGACCTGTGCGAATGACGTTCGGGCAGCGACCAGGACTCGGAGACGTCCCACGTTGGTAAAGCCACTCACGAAGCTGCTGGGACGTAAGGGTCGGACGCCGCCGTAGCTGCATCTGGCCACCGCCAGAAACTCCGCACCAAACAGCGCCACACTGACTACTACTACGGCCGCCGCCACCACTCCCACTGCTGCCACCACCGCCGCCACCAGTCCCATTGCTGCCACCACCGCCGTCACCACTCCCACCACTCCTACAGAGTGAAGTCATGGCGGGCAAGCTAGGAGGAGCGCGACCTCTAGGGCAATATGGAGTGAAGGCAATAGCACGAGGAGTAGCAGCAGCAGTATGAGCAGCAGAGCGGCTCGGTGAAGCTAGGTTGCATCACCTCCAGCACTCCTAGCAGCACTTCCACCAGCAGCAGCAGTAGCTCGAGCAGCAGGGCGGATCGGGCCAGGTAGGGCGGCTCGGCTCGGCCTGGGCGGCGCCAGCAGCAGGGCGCGTGCTGTGCAGGGCAGCAGGGCGCGAGGCGCGTGCTGCAGAAGGGCGCGACACGCGGGGCAGCAGGGCGCGACGTGCAGGCTGCAGCAGAGCGCGAAGTGCGGGGCAGCAGCGTGCGAATCGTGGGCAGCCGTAAGGCACAACGCGCGGGGCAGCAGGGCGCGACGCGCGGGGCAGCAGCTCGCGACTCGCGGGCTGCCGTAAGGCGCGACGCGCGGGCTGCCGTAGGGCGCGACGCACAGGGCAGCAGCGCGGGCGTAGGGCAGGGCACAGGCGCAGGCAGGGCGCTGGCGCAGGGCAGAGCGCCGGCGCAGGGCAGGGCGCCGGCGTAGGGCAGGGCGTTGGCGCAGGGCAGGGCGCTGGCGCAGGGCAGGGCGCTGGTGCAGGGCAGGGCGCTGGCGCAGGGTGACGCAAGGCAGGGCAGGGCAGGGCATGCGCTAGGCAGCGCGACGCAGGGCAAGGCAGGGCGTGCGCAGAGCAGCGCGACGCGGGGTAGGGCAGGGCGTGCGTGGGGCAGCGCGACGCAGGGTAGTGGGGTAACACAGTAACCACAATCGGTCACTAAGTATGGCGGGTCCGGAAAAAAAAACAGTCCTACGAACCTATTGCTCTGATACCATGTCAAGATAGCAAGCAGGAACGATTGCATTGAATGAATTGTGGGTACAAGTACTGATCCTAATATTGAGTTATGCCCCATATGGGCTACCCCACTATAGCCTAGACACAACTAGTACATATATGGTTTGACACAACTGACACACATACAAGCACACATACCCACGCACGGACGACACAGACACACACACATGCGCTGACACATATATATATACACACTCATATATACAATGAGGAGAGAGCAAACAAGCATGACAAAGAGTCAGACACTAACACACACACACACACATTGACACACAGGCATGCAAACAAGCAGAGATACATACAGCCACCGGTGATAAACACCAACCATCACCAATAGAGTTCAGTTACCATTCTTAAATCATTGCTAGCCTATCCCCTCTTTAACCTCCCTACACCCCTCCTTCCCTCCCCACATCTCCCTGCCACCCCCTCCCTCATCTCCCTTCTCTGCCAAACAAAATTCAAGAATGCAGCTCACATGCCCTGCACAAAGCAAAAACAGAGAATGCAAAGTACATGCCCTGCACAAGAAAAAGGCAAAAACAGAGAATGTTCACACACTGTGTACAAAAAAGCACTAAAACATATAGTGTAACTTGCGAAGAGGCCAAGTAGGAAATGCAACTCACCCGTAGAAAGCAAAAACAAAGAGTACACTTCACAGCATTGCACACGAAAACACAAACAGAGAACGCAGCTCACACATGCACTAGAAACGAAATAAGAACAATAGAAAATGGTGTTGAAGAACGCATAGATCAATCAAAGACAGCAATTGAACTTTCACAACTCACAGTGCTAATTTGGAATAAGTCGTGGCACCACCGATACTACACCGGAATGATGCAATACCTTGCAGCCACCCTCGTGTTCAGCTTCATCCTCAAGGTTGCACTCAATCACACACGCACAAATACTCTCAACTTTATTAGACACTCCTAGAAACAAACATTTAAATCTACACGCTCATTCTTGCGCAAACCCTTGCAGTTATGATCGTTATCATTTACAATAACACTCACGCAAAAATTTACACGCGCATGCAAACACACTCGCACGCACCCTTGCACTAACACTCGCACTTGCTCTCGCACTCACTCTGGCACACACAGTCGCACGCACTCTTATCCTCGCCCACACACCCTCTCATCCTGGCGCTTTCTCATGTGCTCTCTCACGCACTCTCTCACGTGCACTCTCATGCGCACTCTCACACGCACTCTTTCGCGCTCTCTCATGCGCACTCTCAGATGCACTCTCACATGCACCCTCACGTGCTCTCTCACGTTCTCTCTCACACGCACTCTCACGCGCACTCTCACGCGCATTCTCACACGCTCACTTACACGCTCTCTCACACTATCTCACATGCACCCTCACGTGCTCTCTAACGCGCACTCTCACAAGTCTCCCATGCGTCTCCCACGTGCACTCCCATGCACACTCTCGTGCGCTCTCACGCGCTTGCCCACGCACTCTCTCACGCGCTTACGCACGCGCTCTCTCACGCGCTTGCGCACGCGCTCTCTCACGCGCTAGCGCACGTGCTCTCTCATGCGCTCTCTCGTGCACTCTCTCACGTGCACTCTCACGCGCACTCTCAAGCGCACTCTTTCTCGCTCTCTCACGCGCACTCTCACGTGCACTCTCACGTGCACCCTCACGCTCTCTCACGTTCTCTCTCACACGCACTCTCACGCGCTCTCTCACGCGCACTCTCACGCGCATTCTCATACGCTCTCTCACACGCTCTCTCATGCTCTCTCGCACGCACTCTCACACGCACCCTCACGTGCTCTCTAACGCGCACTCTCACAAGTCTCCCATGCGTCTCCCACATGCACTCTCACGCCCACTCTCGTGCGCTCTCTCACGCGCTTGCGCACGCGCTCTCTCACACGCTTGCGCACGTGCTCTCTCACATCCTCTCTCACACGCACGCACTCTCACGCGCTCTCTCACGCGCACTCTCGTGCGCATTCTCACACGCTCTCTCACACTCTCTCTCACATGCTCTCTCACGCTCTCATACGCACCCTCACTCGCTCTCTTACGCGCACTCTCACGCACACTCTCACTCGCACTCTCACACGAACTCTCACACTCACTCTCACGTGCTCTCACGCGCTCTCTCACGCGCACTCTCATGCGCATTCTCACACGCACACTCACGCGCTCTCACGCGCACTCTCACACGCACACTCACGCGCTCTCTCACGCGCACACTCACGCACTCTCTCACGCGCTCTCTCCCCACTCTCTCACGCGCACTCACGCGCTCTCTCACGCGCAATCTCACTTGCTCTCTCACGAGCACTCTCCTGCGCGTTCGCTCCCTTGCACACGCTCTCCCTCGCTCTCCGTCTCTCCCCTTCTTCAAATGAAAGTGCAATGCAAGAGGAGACCAATGACACACAAATTTTACAAAGAAGCAAAATTGAAGTGAGGAAATATCAGAGGCAGAAGGGTGGATGAAAGGGCCGGGAACGCACCTGATAACAACGGTGCCTTAGAAAACAACCCGCGCTGGCGCACCATCCCGCGCTCGCGCACCAGCCTGCGCTCGCGCACCAACCCGCGCTCACGCACCAGCCCGCGCTCATGCGCCAACCCGCACTCGCACACCAAGTCTCGCTTGCGCTCGTGCACCTGTCGCCGGAGGCGACGGCCGGGGAGGGATGGAGAGGCGACGGCGGGGATGGAAGGAGAGACGATGGCGAGGAGGAGGGAGAGGCGACGGCAGGGAGGAGGGAGAGGCGGCGGCGGGGAGGAGGGAGAGGCGGCGGCGGGGAGGAGGGAGAGGCGACGGCGGGGAGGAGGGAGAGGCGACAGCGGGGAGGAGGGAGAGGCAACGGCGGGGAGGAGGGAAACGCAACGGCGAAGAGGAGGGAAAGGCGGCGGCGGGGAGGAGAAAGAGGCGACGGCGAGAGGGAGAGGCGACGGCAGGGAGGAGGGATACGCAACGGCGGGGAGGAGGGATACGTGACGACGGGGAGGAGGGAAAGGCGACGGCGGGGAGGAGGGAGAGGCGACGGCGGGTAGGGAGGAGAGGCGACGGCGAATGGGAGGCGAGGCGGGTGGGAGGGAGAGATGACCGCGCGGTGGGAAAGAAAGGATGGCGGGGTAATGGTAGAGGCTATGACGAGGTGGGTGATTGGGAGAAAGAGGCAACAGGTGGGTGGGTTTGTCACGTGAAAACACACGCACAATCACGTGACACTGAGTGGGTCGAAAACAACTCACTATTGTTACGATCAAAAGTTGATCGTGGCCTAGGATCTACTCAGGATAGTTCGCACAATTCTAGTCCAGTGGTAGTGGGCCCTTGACCTCAATAGCAGAGTGAATGAAAATGCTTGAGATAATAAACACGTGCAGTACAAGGAATATAAATATGAGTACAGGGGAATTCGAAACGACCTAACTAGCCATGTACTCTAAGGGGTACATTCCCTTATTGCAGCGAAATCCAACCGTGCGACTCCGAGTGGTTACGTAACTGTTTGGGCAGAATCCTCGCCACTGCTGCTGCCTGATGCTGTCTGCCCGACGGTCCAGATGCTCCTCGTAACCGTCTGTCCCTTCGCCTTTCTTCTGGCTTTTCGTCTTCACTCTCGGTAATGCGTGCTTCGGCCTTACTACGGTGAGGAGTGGGCAACAGTGTTTTTCATTAACTACTATTCGTAACACCCTCCTTCACTCCTGGCCGTAGCGAGCATTGACCCGCTTGACTACCCCGCTGAGTTCGGAGCAGTGCTGGTACTACTGACGCGGCAGTCTCTTCGTGAGGAAGTCTGCTGCCATGTCACCCGTTGGGCAGTATGTCAGGTGAACTTTGCCTTTGTCAAGGGTTATAGTGAGGTTTGTCTTAGGGGGTACAGAAGTTAGGGTTTGTTATATGTACCCCAACCAACATCAATGGAACATTCATTCCTCATTCTGACATGGTATCAGCTAGGTTAGGATCCTGTGGGATCCCGTTCCTCCGTTCGTACCTCCCGAGCCTGATCCTACCTCTCGTTCGTACCAGTTTCGTTGTTACCGCGCCTAGTACCGAGCCTAGCGCCATCTCCCCCGTCGCGTCACGCCCGTTCCCCCTCGTCGCGTCGCGCCCGTTCCCCCCAGTCGCGTCGCGCCCGTTCCCCCCGTCGCGTCGCGCCCGTTCCCTCCGTCGCGTCGCGCCCGTTCCCCCCCGTCGCGTCGCGCCCGTTCCCCCCGTCGCGTCGCGCCCGCCTGTTACCCCCCCCGTCCCGTCGCCCTGTCCCGTCGCGTCGCCCTGCCCTGTCCCGTCGCCCTGTCCCGTCGCGTCGCCCTACCCCGTTGCGTCGCCCTGCCCTGTCCCGTCGCCCTGCTCCGTCGCGCCGCCCTGCCCCGTCGCGTCGCCCTGTCCTGTCGCGTCGCCCTGCCCCGTCGCGTCGCTCCCGCCCTTTCCCCCGTCGCGTCGCCCTCCCTAGGCCCTGGCCCGTCGCCCTCCCTAGGCCCTGGCCCGTCGCCCTCCCTAGGCCCTGGCCCGTCGCCCTCCCTAGGCCCTGGCCCGTCGCCCTCCCTAGGCCCTGGCCCGTCGCCCTCCCTAGGCTCTGGCCCGTCGCCCTACCCTAGGCCCTGGCCCGTTGCCCTACCCTACGTCTTGGCCCGTCGCCCTAGCCCGCTCTTCCGCTGCGACTGAGTCCTCTTCCCCCCCGGTTGTTACTCGCCTGTTCGTTCGCGTTGGTTCTCACTATGGCGACTCCGCGAGTTCTTCGTTTCGACGCCGACGGTAGACCCCTTGACTTTTCCGTCTGGCTTCTTCGCGCTCGTCGTCTGTTAGAGAGTCAGGTCCAGGGGGGCGAGACCCTCTGGTCACACGCTACTGGTGACCTCCCCGAGCCCCCCGAGCCTACAGCTTTAGGCCCTGCTCCTGACGACGCTGCTACGGCTCGCTTTGCCCGTCAGCGCGCTGACCGGACGGCTTGGACGTCGCGTGACGCTGCGGCCTGCATCGCACTCAGCAGCCTCCTCCCTGAGTCCGAGGAGGTCCACTTTACTCAGGTTCGCACCGCTGCTGCGTACCTCACTGCGATTAAGGCCCGCTACTCTACTCCCGCTACTGTCTCTCTCGGCCGTCTTTTCCTCCCGTTCCTGTTTCCTGATCTTGCCTCGTTTGAGTGCTCTGCTGACTTGATCGCTCACCTCCGCTCGCTCGACGCTAGTTACCGCGCTGCTTGCACTGAGGCACAGCTTGCACTGCTTCCTCCCCCCATGGCAATTACTGTCTATTTCATCGCCACTAGCCTCCCTGACCGCCTTGCCTCCGTTCGTGACGCGCTTCTGCTGAAGCACCCTAGTGAGCTGACTATCGAGGTCCTTGAGTCTGCACTCAAGGACGTTGAGAGCAACCTTCGTTCGGTAGCTGCCGCCTCTGGTACTGTGTCCCCCCCACTCTTCCACGGGTGCACAGTCCCGCAGTTACCCACCTTCACTGCCTCTCTTGCCACTGCCGCTACTGACGCGACTGCGGCTGCTGTTACGACTGCGTCGCGGTCCCGCGGCAGGGGGGGCAAGAAAGGTGGTTCCGGTGGAGGTGGAGGCGGAGGTAGCGGAGGTAGTGGGGGTGCTGTTGCGACTGGCGGTGGTGGGAGTGCAGCGTCTGGAGAGACCCCTCGTGCAGCGGCTGGTGACTCCACTGCACCTGCTGGTGGCGGCGACCCTCGAGCTCGTCAGTCGCCTCCTGTACTGCCGGCCCCGCTAGGTGGAGCAGCGGCGTGGTACCAGGCTCAGCGTCAGCAGCACCTTCAGCAGCAGCAGCAGCAGCCCCTTTCCTCCCAGCAGCCTCAGCAGCAGCAGCGTCAGCAGCTGGCTCCGGGGTCGGGGCTGCGTCAGCCCCAGCGCGGTGCTGCTTACCCTCCCTGCCCCTACCAGGTTCAGACAGGTCCTCGTCGGGGCCACCCTTGTGGCCGCTTTCACCCCCCTGGTCAGTGCTTTGCTCAGCTCACTGACACGGTCCGGTTGACCTACGGGGTTGGCGGTCCTGCTCCTGACTGGCTTCCTCTGGTTCAGCGCTACGGCTCCGCTCTGTGGGGCATGTCTGCTGAGCAGTTAGTTGATCTGATTAGTGCTCCTCATGCTATGTATGCTGTTGTTGACTCTAGTGTTTCTGACTCTGTTTACTCTGGTGTTGTTAGCTTAGGTGCTAGTCTTGCTCAGTTGCCTGTTGCTAGTGTAGGTACTTGTGTAGACTCTAGACCAGCGACTACCTCAGAGGACGCTTCGTTGTCGTTCACACTGGACTCTGGAGCCTCCCACTGCTTCTTTCGGGACAGCACGACACTTACACCGCTTCCTGCGCCTGTTTCTGTAGCGTTGGCTGATCCCACTACGGGACCAGTCACTGCACGTCACACTACCACTTTACCGTGTCCTGCTGCTCCCTCCGGGTCTCTCACTGGGTTTCACGTCCCCTCGTTCTCCCGGAACTTGGTGGGCGTGCGACCCCTCGTGAGTCAGCACGTGGGTGTGTGGTTTGAGCCTTCTGGAGAGACTGCGGTGTGTGTTGACGGAGACTCTTACCAGCCTCTTGCTACCTTTACTGCTGAGCCGGGCTCGGGTCTCTACACTCTTCACACTGGCCCGCGTGCGCCGCAGCAGCAGCCGCAGCAGCAGCAGCAGCCGCAGCCGCAGTAGCAGCAGCAGCAGCAGCAGCAGCAGCAGCAGCAGCAGCAGCAGCAGCAGCAGCAGCACCAGCGGCCGCACCAGCAGCCCCCCCTACTGCCACTGCCCCCGGTTCCCCCCCCCGTTCGGGTCCCCGCGTCTCACCAGGTTGCTACGTCCCCCCAGGTGTCTGTGTCGTGTCAGGTTCCTACGTCTGTTCCAGTCGCTGCGTCGTGCTCCTGCCGGTCGCTTGCCCACCCCACCGTTCTGTGGCACCACCGGATGGGGCACCCGTCCCTTCCAAGTCTGCGCGCTATGTCTAGTCAGCATCTTGTCCTAGGCCTCCCACGTGTCTTGCCGTCGCTGCCGCCTTCGCCTGCGCCGCCGTGTCGTCCCTGCGTCGAGGGTAGGCTGCGCGCCACCCCTCACTCCTCCTCCCTTCGTCCGGCCACCGGGCCTTTTGAGACGCTTCACTTGGACGTCTGGGGCCCAGCCCCTCGTCTAGGCCCTGAGCGTGAGCGTTACTTTCTGGTGGTCGTTGACGACTTCTCCCGCTACACCACAGTGTTCCCTCTGGCGAAGAAGTCTGAAGTGACTTCTACGCTGATCAGGTGGTTGCTCACCACTGAGGACACTCGTGGTCGTCGTGTCAGCTGTCTCCACTCCGACCGTGGGGGTGAGTTTCGCTCCGGCATTCTCGCTGGATTCTGTCGCGAGCAGGGCATTCGTCAGTCCTGGACGCTTCCAGAGTCCCCACAGCAGAATGGGGTTGCTGAGCGCCGCATAGGCCTGGTCATGGAGATCGCCCGCACCTCCCTGACTCACGCCTGTGCCCCCCATTTTCTGTGGCCCTACGCGGTCAGGTACGCCGCGCACCAGCTGAACCTCTGGCCACGTGTCTCTCGACCAGAGGTTTCACCGACCAGTCTTTGGACAGGGTCCCCTGGTGTTGCGTCGCGGTTTCGTGTCTGGGGGTGCTTGGCTCTTGTCCGCGACACCTCCGCGGACAAGCTCTCGCCTCGTGCCGTCCCCTGTGTCTTCCTTGGTTTCCCTGAGGACTCCTCTGACTTCACCTTTTACCACCCTCCCTCTCACCGGTTCTTTGACTCCTGTGACGTCCGTTTCGAGGAGTCCACTCCGTACTACGTCAGGTACCCCAGTCGAGGTCTCCCGGTTCCTCCTCCCCCCCTCTTCCTGACTGCCGTTCCCCCTCCTGCTCCCCCGGTACAGCCTCCCCCCCCTGGTCTAGCCCCGTCAGGTGTGTCCCAGGCTACCCCTCCTCCTTCGGTAGCCCCTCCGGTACAGCCTCCCTCCCCACAGTCCTCCTCGCAGCGTGCCGCTGGTGCTAGCTCTCGAGAGGTTGGTGCGGCGCCTGTTCCTGTACCGGTTTCTGGTTCTGGGGGTGCTGGAGTTGG